ACATGTGAAGAAGTTTTCAAACACGGATGAACGAAAACATCAATGGACTTTGGACGAAGGGGAGCAGGTTTAACTGAACGCATTGCGTTTGTAAGCCTGCTGACGTATGAAGCGTGATCTACCACTGGTGGGAAGCTCGAGGGGGAAACAAATTCACCAGGCAGTCGCAGTGTCGTGCCATATACTAGCTCGGCGCTAGTACAACCAGCATCGCTTTTCAAGGCGTTTCGTATCCCTAGGAGAACCAACGGAAGGGATTCAGTCCAATGGGTGGTGTTTGCGGCTGACAGACCAGCTTTCAGCTGTCTGTGTAGACGTTCTACCATACCATTAGCTTGAGGATGGTACGCTGTTGTTCGAAAACGCATGCAACCTATGACTTTAGTCAGGGCGAAGAACAAGCCACTTTCGAATTACCGCCCGCGATCAGTTGTTATGGAAGATGGGCATCCAAAGTTAGCGATCCATCTATCTACGAAGACGCGTGCGACTGTTTCAGCAGATATACCCTGAAGGGGTCCAACCAAATCTATATGGACGTGTTCAAAACGAGCGTCAGGGAGAAGAAAGGTGCCAAGTGGGCTTTTGGTGTGTCTTATCACCTTGCACTTTTGACAAGCTAAGCACGTGTGTGCCCATTCCCTTACTTCTTTATTAATGCCAGGCCAACAAAACCGACTAGTTACGAGCTTGACAGTAGTTCGAATACCTGGGTGAGATAAGCCATGCAACGTATTGAAGACGTTACGGCGATAACTTTTAGGCACGATGGGGCGAGGAGTACTCGTGGAAATGTCACATAGAATAGTATCTCTTCCCATACCTAAGGGTTTCTCAGCTAATTGTAGAGTTGTTTTCGACAACTCATGTTGAAGCTCGGTATCTTCTTTTTGAAGACGAGCCAGTTTTACAGGTCTATGCCGTCGATTTGGGTGAGAACAAACGCGCGACAAGGCATCTGCCACAGTGTTGTTTACTCCGGATACATGGCGAATATCTGATGTAAACTGTGAGACGTAATCCAGTTGTCGTGATTCCCTGGGTGAATACTTATCTGAAGGTGAGTTCAGAGAGTACGTCAGAGGTTTGTGATCCGTAAAAATTATGAATTCACGACCCTCTACCGAATGTCTAAAATGTCGTATAGCACAGTACATAGCCAGAAGTTCTCTGCCGAATGTGCTGTACTTCGTTTCAGCTAATTGAAGGCGCGGGAGAAAAAGGCGAGTGGTTGCCACTCATTGTCAACTAGCTGTTGTAGAACTGCGCCGATTGCAGTGTTTGATGCATCAACCGAGATACTTAACGGTGCCGTTGGATCCTGATACATCAGAAGTGTGGCATTCGCAATAGCTTTTTTAATCTGGGTAAAAGCATTTCGAGCAGACGCGTCAAGTTCTATGGACTTGTTATTCCCTCGAAGGAGGTCTGTCAATGGCTGAATCAAAGAGGCACAGTTGGGAATAAAGCGTCGATAATAACTTACTAAGCCGTTAAAAGTGCGGAGACTTTTCACCGTCTGTGGCTCTGGAAAGTTCAGTATAGCCTCGACCTTAGTAGCCAGTGGGCGAATGCCCTTGCAGTCAATAGTGTGACCCAGGAAGTCGAGTGAGTCAACACCGATTTGACACTTTTGAATATTAATGGTAACACCATGTTGGCGTAACCTGTCAAATGCCAAGTCCAAGTGCCTAAGGTGAGTTTCCTTGTCTGGACTGGCAATGAGGCAGTCGTCTAAGTATGCGTATACAAAGTCGAGACCGCGAAATACTTCGTCAATGAAGCGTTGGAATGTTTGGGCTGCATTCCGGAGACCGAATGGCATACGTAGAAATTCAAAAAGTCCGAAAGGCGTAATGATAGCCGTTTTCGGGATATCTTCTGTTGCCATCGGGATTTGGTTATACGCTTTAACCAAGTCGATTTTGGAGAATATAGTCGCGCCGGATAAGGTTGCCGTCAAGTCGTGTATATGAGGCAACGGGTAGCAATCAGGGGTTGTTTTGGCATTCACTCGCCGGTAATCACCGGTGGGTCGCCAATCATTGCTATCCTTTTTCGGAACCATATGAAGTGGGGATGCCCATGGGCTATTCGAAGGTCGAATGATGCCAAGGGTAAGCATATGGTCAAATTCATTCCTGGCGATTCTCAGTTTGTCAGGAGCTAATCGTCGTGCTTTAGATGTCACAGGTTGTCCTGTGGTAATGATGTGGTGCATAACATTGCTGGTTATGCACGGTAGGTCGTTCGACGGGCAATTAAGTTCCGGATACTTGTCAACATAGGTTGAAAAGTTGGATCAAGATTGCCTTTATCTTAACGGGTGACAAACTAGGGCCTATGTAGCTGATGCCTTTGATAGACAGACTAGTAGTATTGTCAATCAGTCGTTTTCGGCGGACGTCTACGAGTAAATCATGATGATTAAGTAGGTCCGTGCCAATGATGGGCATTGTAACGTCAGCGAGAAGGAAAATCCACGAATAGGTTTGCGTAAACCTACGTTCAGATAGACGTATTTCCTACCAAAGGTTGCGATTGGTTTTCCATTTGCAGCCTGTAAGTTGAAGGTAGGTTCCTTCTGTCGATCTGCTGCTGTAGCAGGAAGGACGCTGACTTCGGCGCCTGTGTCGACTAAGTATCGAGTCTGGCTTATCACATCATGGATGTAAAGTAGGCGGCTAGTGCCACCGGCGACGGTTGCCGCTAACGCGTGCCGGCGGGATAGTTTCCCACAGACTTTGAGACATTTCCGAAGTTACAAGGCTTACGGCAACACTTCGCTTCTTGGCCATAGGTGTTGTGGTACCAGCACCAGTCAGGGTTTTTCAGTGAACGTGGTTTGGACTTAGATCGACCACGTGAGTTCCTGCGTTGAGGAGATTTAGGACGACGGTCGGAGGATTTAGAAGCATGTTTGACCTAAACATCTGCTGGATGGAGTTGCATAACTCTATCATTGCAGGATCCTTACTCGAAGTCTGCTTAGTCATCGAGCATATTTCGGGAACTGACCGTTTAGTTATTTCTAGAATCCTATCTGCAGTAATAGCTAAGTCCTCTATTACAGTACCCTGAAGTGTCACAAGTACGGTCTGTACAGACTGTGGCAGCTTGGTTAAGAAGAGTTCTCTAAATAGTCCTTCGTCGAACTGACTTTGGCCGACGATTTCTTTCATTCTTGTCAGCATGCTCACGGCTGACTGATCTCCTAACTCGATGTTACGAAATAATTCATCTAGACGTTGTCGGTCCGTGAGAACGTTTCTCCTGAGGAGGGATGCTTTGAGCAACTCGTACGAGTTACTTACCTCGGGACTGAACATCTGTGATGTTACGTACTTGCTGAATTCCCGCGGTAGGGCGTGAATAACTGCAAGTAACTGTGAACGTTGATCGGTTATCCCATGCTCACAAAAATCTGCTTCAGCTAGCAGAAACCACGTTTCAGCATTATCTGGCCAGTATGGTACGAGCTGAATGGTTTTAGGAGTTGAGCGGATACGATGACCTTGGGACTAAGATCACTCATGACGAAAATTATGTCGAATAATATATGGTACAAGAACAAATACAAAATGGAACGAACTCACCGGGGTTATCTGCGGATTTATCGTGGATGAAGTTCGCGGTTGGGCTCACCAGTTTAGAGGTTGACGGAATTATTTTACACAACCTCTAAATTATTCTCGCGTACCAAAACAAAGCAAAAGCCAATAATTGATCGTCCAAACTTCGTGATATATTTCGGGACCAAAACAAGCCTTCAGACGAACGCTTAGCTAGCTAGTGATCGTGCACGTGACACGACGGGGTACCAAATGGCGGGGATGCTTGACCGGAAGCCTTCAGCTAAACAAGTCGACTTAAACGGTGGTGTTCAGCATCCAATGAGTGATTGCTGTGGCCAATAATTTTGGGGAATTATATACCGCTACAAGGATTACAGCCTTATGCTCACTCGTGAGTACTGCAAGGCACCCACATTTAATATCTTTAGGACAGACATTCGACGTAATGTTGCTGAAATTATGAACTTAGAAATACCTAATGTCATAGAATCAAAAGGTTTGTTGAAGAAATTTTTAAAATCGCTATGAGTCCCTAACTTCATTATGTCATTCTTGTAGGTTGCTCTTATGTTGCTTAGGGTATTACCAACTATTACTACTACATTACGAAACTACCCTAGTTACTCGCATGCGCTGCGAATTTGGAGAAAACAAAAAAACAATCGATGGCGCTATGTCATCTGCATACACTTGTTTCACAAATTATTGGGCAGCTTGTCTAGCTTTTAGGTCATCACAATTCACCTTCTAACGATACTCATGTAGGAGCTCAGAGGAACGTTTCTATTCTACCCGAATCATGACATCATCTGGTAAGTGGTTTAAGGAATTGACGTTGTAGGTAAAGCACTCCAAACCGTAATGTATATTCCCTTATGTAATTCCTCAAATCTGCAACAAATGTATTGCACATTTCCCGGCAGATCCTGGGGTGACTCAGTAAATACATGCTTAATAATAGGTGTCTAAAGTTTAAATACATTTTGCAGTGTTTCTGGATCTAAGAACAGCAATAAAAGTCTACATTCTGCAGCTTTCAGATATCAGTCTACATTTTCTAGAAAAGCCATTTGGTGTTTTCAAACTACCCTAGGGCCTGTATATTTGTGACTTCTTAATAACCGCTAGTTGGCACGCTTCCGTGGGTAGCTTTCGCGGCCAGCTGCTTTCTGAGGACTCTGTCGTAAGTATATTTAAGAGTGGTCTTGCCGGCTCAGAGCTTAGCGAACGGTGAGAACGAAGATGAGGATGAGTATTGGACTGAAAAAATGCCATTTATATATAACTGCTTTCCAAAACAAAAATCTCAAAGTAAAATATACCTACTACTAGGAGTGTTTTTCCCTGATACTTCTTTTATTTGATTTTTCGTCATCACCAAAGTTAAATTGAAATTCGAAAGGCAGGATTTGAAACGTATGCGCTATGGTTATTCCGTTGTGGCCTATTGTTTTTGCTGTTGTTGTTTGTATTCTCACTGCCGTATGGTACTGTTTATCGTTCAAGAAGAAACTTAAAAGTGTTTTGTTCGTTGGGACTTGCGACTCAGGGAAGACTACTCTTTTCTCTGCTATTATATATGGAAATCCAACCTCCACGTTTACATCTCTCAACGAAAACGTCGGAAGCCTGCAATTAGATAAAAAAGTATTAGCATTTACATTGAATATTTCAAGGTGCTTTTCATTGTAGATATCCCTGGACATGAAAAAGTCCGGAACGAGATAATCCAGAAATATAAATCAGATACATTGTATGTTTCACATAGTTTTTTCTGACATTTAGAGCTCTCGTTTTCGTCATAGATTCAAAAACTGTTCTGACTGACATCAAAGATATCGCTGAGTAAGTTGAATCATCGATTAAGACATCAAATCATCCTCGTAGATTTCTATACAACATACTTGTTGATAAAGTGCTTATCAAAAACCGTGTGAAATTACTGATAGCTTGTAATAAACAAGATGCAACCACGGCCAAAGGAATCAGTGTGATCAGCAACCTCTTAGAAAAAGAGTTGTAAGTACTACCAAACTGAAATTTATGCATATTTTTGAGGTCTCCTTTAGCATTCTATGAAAATAGTCCTTGCATCAAATATATATATATATATATATATATATATATATATATGACAACATCATGGTCGTGGATATGTTGTTTGTAGAGTTTTTACTGTTAAGTAAAATGTGCCATATTTGTTATTACGTGGACTCAAAGGTTATTTTTGTAGACACGAAGTCTAGTTATAATTCATATAACGGCCTAAATTGTTTCATTTAAAAATGTCTTGAAAGCACTATTTTTGTTATACTACACCTTTAAAAATGCCATTGAAACGAAGGGTTATCCGCATAATATCTTACTATATGGGCGGTTAAAGCGTCAGCTACTCACACATATCATTGACTTCCAATACCTTTTTTATTCCTTTGTGTTCCCAGTGGAACATTGGGCTTCAAGCTTTCTCTTTGAACTTTCATCAGCAGTGGTATTTATTACGGAGTGGAGTTGCTAGCCTCACCCGCAACCCCCGTTCTTTTTCGGGGTTACAACCGACAATTAAACCAACCAGCTCCGAGAACACGACCAAATTGTAAAGGAGTACGCCGGCCGGGACTCAAAACCCCGGACCACTTGCATGGTCGGCCAGGACTCTACCCCTGAACCACTGACGCACTACTTTCAATGCTAGCTAGTGCAAAATGTTGCATTTTAGTTGGATTCTGTGCACCAGTCAGCACCTAGCTACTCGGAAAATTTGTACCAGGTCCTGAGTTACTTATTTTGGGAGAGCTGACAACTCTACCCATTTATGTAGGCTGAAGTATTTGGTTTGGGATGCTAACCCAAGACTTTTTGAATGAAAGTCTGGCCAGCAGTTCCCATCTTCAAAGTTCTGAAGTCGTTAAGTGTTCAAAAAGCATTCACTAGTATCTAAGAGAAGTGCAGAGGTGGAAATTAAACTTGAAAATTTATTTATTTGCATTTATGTGGCCACATATTCTTAAAATATGATTAGAAACAAACCAATGGAAATGATCATAACATTTAGTAACCACAGTAAGATGATACCACTTATTATACCCTGTATCCCATTTGGGCTGTATTATTATTTCAAAACTAATTCGTGTACATCTAATCTTTTCACAGCACTCATTATGTGAGCGTTTAATGGTAGTTTACAGTACCGTTCCTTATTCCAACTTAAAACATTATGGACACAAAGTAGTACGTGACGAAATAATATGAATGGAAGGTACAGTGTTTAGTAGTGCATCTATAAAGGTGAGTACTAGCAAAGGCTTTCACCATTCTCGCGAGGTACACAGCACACAGATGGTAAAAAGAGTTATTTCCTGTATCAGATGCCTAACTTTGTAATATGTTTCAATCCCGTTTTATGGTCTTTGGTCGTTATTCTGAAGGAGAAGTGAATTGTACTCAAAATTATTGAGGCAGTTTGAAACTTAGATATGCCGTTTTAAAGGTCAGTATCTACAACATTCAGGTTAGAAATTCGTTTCAGCAGAACAGGATAATGATGATGATAGATGTTTTCATAACATAGTTTAGATACAGCAAACATTTATTCGGTTGGAATCTTACCAGTTTGTGCTAAAACACATCCAACTACTCAAATTCCATGAATTAAAGCCAAAAATGCAATTTATAATCGTGTACAATCACAATCACGGTCATTTATTCACATCAGTTTATTGAATACAGTATTTCTTAGCATAATACTTTCGCGATTACTACTGTAATTACTACTACATTCATAACTACTTATGCTGGAAAATATATTTGTCAGAGTTCTTATCCTTTTCTCAACCCATTTTCTCTAATCACATTCTGCACGAAGATTTCCAACAAAAGTATTTCATCAATCGATGTTATTATATTATGTTTTCAATGAGGTTCAATTTTGTCTGACAGTATATTATTATTTATTTTTATGACCGTATAGTAACGCGGTTTAATGACACAAACGTCTTTATTTGCAAACGAAGTTACATAGTACTGGGGGCTAGTGATACTACCCTATTGCTGACGTTGGTTTGATAATATTTTGACAAAGCGGTTAGCACTAAATAGCGAAAAGTCGATAAGAACAATGTCATTCTGTTTTTCATTCATTAAGAAATACAAGGACTTTTATAACAATAAACAATGAAGTCAATTCGAAGAGTACTCATGAGTTTAGCTCAGTAAGTTGTAACCAGAAAAAAATTGTGACTTAACAGAAAAATAGCAGTTAAAGAAAAGTTAGGAAATAAAACAACCTGAGCTCTTTCTAACGTACAAGTGCTTTTTCCCGTTATTCTCCTACTAATCAAGGGAATTTGCTGTAAGAGATGTGGCGTATCGGCTTAAGCGTCGGACTTCATGTAAATGCATAGCTGGTTCGAACCCCGCCTGATCTACTTTAACCTAGGCGATAGGATAATGTCACCAGCTCCCAATATAATGTGGTTTATAGCCCCCAGTACTATGTAAGTGAAATCAAACGAGACTGACAGAGAAACTTCATTTGCAAATAAAGACGTTTGTGTCATTAAACCGCGTTACTATACGGTCATAAAAATAAATAATAATATACTGTCAGACAAAATTGAACCTCATTGAAAACATAATATAATAACATCGATTGATGAAATACTTTTGTTGGAAATCTTCGTGCAGAATGTGATTAGAGAAAATGGGTTGAGAAAAGGATAAGAACTCTGACAAATATATTTTCCAGCATAAGTAGTTATGAATGTAGTAGTAATTACAGTAGTAATCGCGAAAGTATTATGCTAAGAAATACTGTATTCAATAAACTGATGTGAATAAATGACCGTGATTGTGATTGTACACGATTATAAATTGCATTTTTGGCTTTAATTCATGGAATTTGAGTAGTTGAAAGTGTTTTAGTACAAACTGATAAGATCCCGACCTAATGGATTGTGTTGATGTCATATTATGAACATTAAATTTGGCTTGAACTAGTATCTAGGACTTTACGTTTAGTTACTATCTCCCCTATAAATAAACTGATCCGGTCGAAGGTGAATCAACTCCAGGCTTTCAATCAAAGTAATCTTATATGACCGTGTTCATAGCGCCTACCAGATAAGTCCTATTCACTGCCTCACACAGCGAGCGTGTTCCTCACAAAAGTAAAACAGCGAATACTAACATGTGATTCTTATAACTAGACTGGTGAATATGCTAATCCATCTATGGGAGTTGCAGAACCCTGATTCCATACCTTTGGTTTACATAGGCTCCAGAATTCAAAAAGATTGAATCGTGTATGATTCTGTTTTAGACACCAGTACAACTATTGGAACATAGCTCTTAAAGCTGCTCAACTGCTATGTTGATCACTCTTCAACTCAAAGACTTGGGGGATAGTCCATCAATACAAGCATCTGGTTCCATCTGGGCGCCTGGACAGCATCACAACTCCAGGGCAAACTGTATGACACATCTCTAGGTGCCCATAATAATATTTGAATAGAGAAAAATAAGTGTATGCAATTAATAACATATTGTCTCCATACAGATTTATTGAAGTATTTTTTTTCTATAATCCTCACCAACCATAAGGTTCATAAATACTTCACAAGACAGTTTAAGATTGATGAAAACCGCATGTTGGTATGAGAGGATAATCAGCAATCCTGTGGTGTGTTCTGCTCGTCGTTTAAACATGCACTTATGACTTTTTCGCTTTCCTATTTAAGATTTTACAAATCCATATTATCATTCTCTTTTGTTCCGAGTGGAATGCAGAACTTCAACAACACACCTCCATTTCATCCTGTTCTCCGTAGTACTCTTTAGCTGACTCCACAGTCGCCGGTAACCTTTCATCTCCTCGTCACACCATCTCCTTCATGTCAGCCTAAGACGCCTAACTCATCGTTCCCTATTCATATTCCACTCTAACGTCTTGTACGCAGATTCACTCAACGGTCTTCTCAACCTGTGTAAAATACCTTTCCATTCTCTTTGCATATTTGTTTGTTGGATATTAGATTCTTGGTTGATTTGTTGCCAGGGTTGCCTATTGCTCCAATCCTTTCTGACCGCCTTATCTTCAGTATCGAAGCAGCGAAAAAAGCTGTTGATTAAAGTCTACAGTGGCCTTTTGAAAACTGTTTTTTGGTGACACACGTACCAAGTGTGTCTGAACCATATAGAAACACGGACTTGACAGTACTGTTGAAAATTCGAGTCATGTTTCATGTATCCTGAGATGCAGTGAATGTCCACCCTGATATATCAGATTAATGTGAAGGTCCGTGTTGCTTTTTCGATCCTCATTGGCTTTGATATCTCCATGCGTGCTATCTGAATGTAGTTTAGGTAAGTGATATATGACTTCCTTTAAATTTTTTTTCACCCGTTAATGGTGATCGATGCTTGTTACATTTGAATAAGGCATTAAGAAGACAAATTTAACGAGATGATGTCGTCATTTCGTGGTTTCTTTACAACCGCTTTACAACTAGCATGGTTAACAATAATAAAATAAAGATCATGGCAATTACTCAGTTAAATAAAAAACACAAAAGTACATACGAATGACCAATCATATTTAGATAGGTCATATAGTCCAGGGTAGGCGAAGATTGAAGTCTATTGATTTTTGCACACACAGTTTAGACTGTATGTGATTAATCTAAAGTGCTTCCATCACCTTCAATAGGCAACCTTGAATTAGAGTTATGTGAAATAATTGTGAAACAGTCATTAATATTGATTTTATGACGTGACATTAATAAGTGTTTTGCAATGAATAATGCTGGATTTCTATTCAGATTAATAATTGCATTGGGATTTTCTATATGATTTAGTAACCATTTTGGAACATCTTCGGTTGTAAAGAAACTACGAAATGACGGTATCATCTCGCGAAATTTGTCTTCTTAATGCCTTATTCAAATTTATCAAAGGGACTAATTGTTTTAATTTTCTCAAACGAAGGTTTGTTACATTGTTGGTTTTTTTTACATTCTTGTATATTTATTTGTCCCTTTTCTCGATTCAATATTACAATAAATAAAAGAGATCAATTTAATAAGTTCTAATCTTTTCTGAATTTAGGAATACGCTTACATATACACGTACTGGTGCACTTGCTAGTCTTGATCAATCGACTGTAACAACACTTACAAAACCGGGAGTAACATTCACTTTTGCTAAGAATCGTTTCCCTGTAGATTTTGTTGAACTCTCTGCTATAAATGATGTTTCTGTGATACATAAATGGCTTGTACAGCTATGAGCTAGTGTATAAATAAAGTAATAAAGTTGAAATTGTGCATGCGTACAATAAAAGCGTGTTCGAAAAATAATTTCTTATTGATTTTTTCTATAATTTCAAAAAAATTGTTTCATACCTATGTATTTATTGTTTTACTGACTCTTGTTTTGTGGATGAAATGGTGTGATGTAATAGTGTCTTTCATGGAAGGAATTTAGATTTCCCAACATTATTATTTACAGGCTTTTATCTTTATATCAGTTCATAAAACTGTGCTGTGAACGTTTCCGTTAGCTAAGAACCTGTGTTTTAATTTGTACTGCATTAACTAGACCTTATGAGCTGGAAAATTTCTCAGGTGGTGTATTATTATTATTGTTCCCTTGCGTTCCGAGTGGAACATAGGGCTGGCTTCAACAACACATTTCCACTTTGTTGTGTTTTCTGCCGTCCTCTTCAGCTGGGGGCAAACGATTGAAAAAACTCTGTCATCTCTCCCTCACACGATCTTCATGTCACACGGACGACCCACTCATCGCTTCACATCGGGATTCCACTTGAGGGCCTGGTGTGCGATGCCATTTGTCGGCCTCCTCAGTGTATGTCCTATCCATCTCCACTTTCTCCTGCATATTTATTGAGCGATCGGCTCCTGGTTTGGTTTGTTCCCATAGTTTCTTGTTACTAATTCTTTCTGTCCGGCCATTTGATCTTCAATATAGAGTGAAGGCAGCTGTTGATGAAAATCAGCAACCTGCTGGAAGTCCTTTTCGTGATACACTGGCCAAGTTTCTGACCCTTATAGAAGAACCGACTTCACATTGGTGTTGAAAATGCGAATCTTGTTCCTTATGCTGAGTGCGGAAGATTTCCAAACTTGTTTCAGGTTGATGAAGGTGTATCTTGCCTTTCCGATTCTGAATAGCTTTGACTTCTTCATCCGTTCCGCCTGTAGTTGAAACGATGCTTCCCAGATAAGTGAAGGAGACAACCTCTGTCAAATCTTTCCCGTTGATAGCGATTGGTGTTAGTTGTTGTTGTTGTTGGCTGGTTGGTTATCTTCATTACCTCCATCTCCTCTGTGCTCACCTGGTGTCCTGTCTTCACTGGCTGCCTCTTCATCCAGTTTTTTGGTTTTCGCTTGCAAGCCTTCGAGTTTGTGTGACGTTAGACATTATATCATTTGCGAAATTCATATCTTCTAGAGTCTTCTTATTTGGTCATTCAGTGTATTCCTGGCTCCTCGCCCCCAATAGTCTGACGCATAATCTAGTCCAGCACAATTAAAAATATCATCGTCGGTGATAATAGACAGCCTTGTCTTACTCCTGTATGCAATTTGAACGCCCTCAAAAGGTGTAGACAAATGAAAATAATTGATTTTAGTGTTGAATATAAGGTTTTTAGAAGACGACGCAACTACTACTTCTTAATGGAGTTGAAGGTATAAAGTAAGTAGAGAAGTTTATCATTTTAGTATTATTGCAAGGTGTGAGATTGATCGTATTGTAACAACAGAAGCTAAGGTATCTTTTTAAGTGATCAAACTGCTATATATGTCCAAACCGAGTTCGCTTTTAACAGTTTGAAAAAATTTGGGCATTGAATATAGGATATTCATTATTATCATGAAAACCGCTATTTAAGTGTATGCAATTTTATATTTTCTAACCAATCATTGAGCGTATGATTTCGACTTACATTAAACGACATGAAATAGAATATCCAAATATGTACATAGTACTCTGTTGCTAATGCTGTATTGAACTGTGGGAATATGTGAGAATAATATTCCGTTGGAACACGCATTGTCTGTATCACAGTATGGTATGGTGTGGAATTTTCAGTCTGCATTACAATATACTGCATCTAATTACCTCATAAATTTTATAAGATTTTAAAATCAAAAAGCAACAATCAAAAAAAGATAGATAAATAAAAAGAAATACAAAAGAGCAGCGTTGCGTTTACATTTTAAACAATACACCACAGGATATGAAATATAAAATTAGTGTCTAATAGAAGATGTGAACCACAATATAATAGTAACGGAGAAAGGAAAACAAAAACTAATGGGACTATTTGTTAGTAAGTTGATCGTGTCATACCTAACGGATTTCTCATCACATAGCAGCTGTGCCAGATATGATATTGTGGAGATTTTGTACTTGGTAGTCCTAGCATATAGCCAGCCTCCTATAGCTACTTATAGTTCTACCAGATGAAATGCAAGGAGAGAGCTGCGTATAGAGAGGATGCTCGGGGTCTGACAATTTTGTATTCACTAGTTTCTTACACGACATTATATGTCTATCCACAATAGTGTTAACCAGTTGGCTTAACGATACCCCACTTGCCCTACTAACGGCTTTTAGTGCCCTTCTCAGCGAATCAAAGTCTTTCTTAAGTAGTCCAGGAAAGATTAATGGGGAGAAGTAAAGGGGGATGGGTAGAATACAAGAATTGATAAACTGAGAAAGCAAAGACTGATTTACACCAGACTGCCTTAACTTCCTAAAGTAGAACGTTAAGCGAAACATCTTTCTAGTAACTAGCAAGATGTGGAAGGACCAGGAAAGATCGGAGGAAATACTCAGTCCAAGGTACTTGACATTAGATGTAATTCCAACCTCTATGCCGTCAATGATAGTGGGGCCATGTGAGCTAGCTAGTTGTTGTAGGTCACGTTTTCGTCTGAAAGTGAAATCGTCTACCTGACATTTAAAAAGTTTCAGCTTAAGACTGTTTGAAGAGGGCCACTGACTAGTTTCCGACAGAAAGTTATTTCAATTGGAACAATCTGACTGAGAGTTGACAGGCATAGAAACAGAGAGGTCATTAGCATACTTAACAAAAGTGGCTACACCAGAATGGAGTAAGTCATGTAAGAATAAAGAAAACAGAAAAGGAGAAAGAACAGCACCTTGAGGAACTTACACTTTATTTGGAATAGTTCAAGTTTACTGTACTGAAGAGACTACAGATTGTGTGTGTGTGTGTGTTTATGATTTCCTGAACAAAAAGCTTAGGTTTTCTTCTTGATAGAATCACTATTCATCTAATTACCACGAAAATAAGACTAACTGAGCAAGTTTAAACGCAGAACTTAGCACAGAAGTGCAACAGTTCGAGTTGCTAAACTCTGTGTAGCACAAAGAAGGACGAAAGAGATTCTAAAGAACTATGATAAGCAGATATGTAACGGAGAGTGAATAGTGACATGGAAAGTCATTAAAGTGAAATAAATATGGGGATCACAAAGAGGGAACGATTTTGAGCCACATCATCGATAGTCTCTGGTTCTTGACATCCCGAGGACCCCAAACAGGCAATCTATACCTCTTTAGGTGGCTTTCTGAAACTATCAGTTAGAGACTTCATCCATTGATGCCAAGTTTTGGTTTGACTACGCATAACTGTTTTCCAACCTAATGTTATGTCAGCAAATATTTCTCTTCGAGGAAGTTGGTGGCTCGGGTTGCACAAGAAGATTCACAATTTCCTTATCTAATACTCTACGCCTACTCATTATATTACACTACTTAACAAAGGAGGTAGAAGGCAAACATCTCCCTCCCACTTTCAATAACCATGTCTGACAATCTATAAAAGAGTACAGAGCGAAGTATTACACAGTAAATGCATCCTTTGGTTGAAGCCGTCTGTACCAGAGGCGACGTAGGTTGAAGAATGCTGCACGCGACCGAGAAACTTTGAGTCATGTTGTATAGGAGCATCTCTGCAGTGCAACTGTCAACGCTTATTGATTTATGTGCGTATCATCCAGTGAGTATACTGTTAGAAAGGTATAGGATACAAATGAATGGGATTGTTCAACTGTGGCTTATCTTAATGTTGTCAGCCATGTCCTTGATTATCGGCCAAGAGGTAGTGTTTATTCTCAAGCGCTAATTAAACGTGGAATTTGACGACCTGACTGATGGAAGTCTAACTTCAGTTATGCGCCGATTCAATTGTTAGTTTGTGATATGACTACAGAGCTGTCAAAGCTCCCGTTTGAGTGAATTTGTATACCTAGAATTGACGACTAATAGGCGTTACGCATATTAGAATTTATCAGTTCCCATGGAAAATTCACTGTATCAGTCACTGTATGCCTTCCCAGTTATATAAATACGACTGTACAGCTTGGAAATGAAGTCGTTATCAAGAAATATTCCCTTGCCGGACGGTGTCTTTTCCTTATAAAAAAAATTGTATATTTCGCGATACAACTTCGCCGCACGTTGGCTAAAAGTACTTTGATTGTCAAATATTGGTATACTCCAATTGTTGTCTTTCATTTGTCACAAAAAACTTCTACAAGCAGATGGTAGGACACTTCATGAAAGTACCACGCTTTCGGAAAAAAAAGAAAGACTGAAGTCTCAGCCATCTCGACCTATACGCTCGTGAAATGTGACGAAATAAAAAACAGACGTAAAATACCGTAGTATTAGCCGCTAGGTCAGTCAATTGGAACATCTCTAAAATCATGTTCCACTAATAACTACGAAGTAACCTCGTAAGGCAAGATATACATCACCAATAAAACGACGGCAAGCTTGTGATCTGTTAATGAATGTATGGGGACTAAAGTTACTTTTCCTTATTGTGAGTCATTCAAAATGATCAGATGTTATGCTAATGCTGTCATGTTGAGTAATGTAATATATAACCAGAAATTCATATCCTGCAAAAATCCTTCTAATATGTGGATACTATTTAAGGAAATCACTGGTGGTAAGCAGATAAACAATATTCCATATTCTTTTGACGTATGTACTCTTAACAAATCTTTTATTTACTCTCCCTCAAATGCCATGCTTCCCAGCATCACTTGTGTTAATAATAGTCCATTTCCAGGTTTTAACACAAATGATGTTCAAAAGTGCCTCAAGTCTATAAATCCTTCCCAGAGCTTAGGTCCCGATTATGTACCTAGTATTACTTTTAAAAAATGTTCTGATATTCTGTCACCCTCTCACTGATCTATTTAACAAATCTTTTTCCGAAAATAT